GAAAAGTGTGGACTACGATTCACAATGAAGTGTTATCGATACCGATGTTCCTGAATGAGAAAATTCAACTCGTTAGACTGTAAGTTCGATCGATTCTGAGATTTATTTGGTACAAATATTTAAAAGACTAGGAACAGGATTATGTTACAACTGGTTAGATTTTATTTTGTTGTGAGTTTTTTTTTTTTTTTTTTTTTTTTTTTTTAAAAGAAACGAAGAACGAAAATACGCGACAAACGAGCCAGAAATTGGATGCAGACGAGGAAGTCTCGCCTCGATTCAAATGTATTCGATAGAATTCGATCCACGTGGTCGAGTGTCGCGGCTGATACACTTGTTAAACGCGATAGTTTACCGATTATGGTTACAAACACGTGTAAATGCGTTTTTATGATGCGTCTTTTAGCTATTAGGTTTTTACGCCGTTTCACGTTGGTCGTTCGATGATAAGAACGATACCAGTATTTATTAGTTAGCGTAACGCATCGATTATCCGCCGCTTGTCGTGGCTGGATTCGATGAATGAAACAGCGAATTCGATTTACGATTTATATTTTTTTTCTTTCTTCTCCGTATATACTCGATTATATGGTTTTGGAAAACAGATATTGGTAAACAGATTACCATTATTTTTAATTGTAATTTCGCTTGAATCGATGCACCATCGCGTATCTATAGTAACACGAGTTGAGCGTTGTTTCTCGACGCCTCTTTGGAAATCAATTCCGCTTTCTTCCCTTTTTTTTTTTTTCTCGTATACGAGAAAATTAAATCGAATTTTAATATCACAACCGAAATTTTTTAAACATTCCCATTCGCGGACAGAATATTTGTTGGGACGCGCGAAAGTATTAATTATAATCATTATAATCGAATCGCAGATCAAACATCTGGAAGGACCAAAATTTCGTCTCGACGAATGAGAATTTCGCTATTTACGCGAGAAAGGTCCTTCTTTTTCTCTTTTTTTTTTTTTTTCTAACAAAATAATTCGCCTCTTCCTAAATACATATTGTATATGTGATATATCGATAATACTGTTTCCTACATTTATTTTGAAATATAAATATATATATATATATATATATAGTATATATATATATATTTATATAAGAGATATTATATTGTTTACTACTATCGTAATATATTATATATTTGTCGTTGTAGAATTGGAACTGCTCGTGACGCGTTTTTAAAAAATGAAATGTTGCGGTTCGCGGTTTTCCCCAATTTTATTTTATCATATTATTATTCTTTCCTTCCTATTATAATAAAAAAAAAAAAAAAAAGAAAATTGAAACAAGGAAAGGAACAACGAACGATATAGAGAATTGCGTGAACAATAAACTGAAATTGGAATAACTGTGTAATTTGTTGTTGTGATTACGGATTCGAAATAAACGGTGAAATCTTTTTTTCAAAATCAGTTCTTTTTCTTTCGACATCATCACCCGCACTATCGATTGTAACTTATCGAACGATAGATCCGAATTGTCAACGCAAGATTGTTCGAGCAGTTAGGAACTGTATTTCTTTCTTTTAGAAGCGTACCGCATGCATTTATCTAGTGAAATAATATTTTGTTATACGATCCAAGCAGAGAGAACTCGATGTTTCATCTTCAAAGGAACCAAACATTTGAAATTTTTCTATCGACACTCGATATTAGAAAATTTTAAGATTTCGATGCTTCTATTTTCTTTTTTCTTTTTGTTTGCCAATCTTTATCTATCAAGCTCTCAAAAAATCTTTAAAGATCTTTCACCGAGTTCCAGTACAAAGATTACATCGAATATATGAACCGATAGCACACGCTTTAAGAATAACATGCTAGTCAACGTTTGTTTCAACGTTTGTTCTTTTTTTTTTTTCTTCGGGCATATAAATTTGTCTAACACGCGTCTCGCGCAAAACCATTCGATATTAATCGTTTTTGATATCGATCGCTCGTATTGTCTCGTGTTGGCCCTTAACGCTCCGAAATGATCATTCGAAATGCTTAACTTAGTTAAAAATTGGCCGTCTCGTCGACCGCGCGCACAAATTATAATTATACGTAGAGAATGTCGGACGATTTGTAAAAATAATCACGAAATATAATTTTGATTGTTGCTTGAGCTTTTGATCACGCGCACCGCTCCAGAATCAGTTTACCCGATTCCTCGTACTCTTGCCGCGACAACCACATCTGCTGGAAGGATCCAAGGGAGCTGAGGATCGATCCACCGATCCACGCGCCGTATCGCCGTTCGCTCGAGCTGTTCGCGCTAATTATTTTCAGTCTCATACTCTGTAAAACTCATCCAATCAATCAGTCAATCTCTCCAAGACATCGCATTACCTTCAAAAAAGGAAATAATAATACTCACCGGAGGAGTCTTGCTGGCTAAATCACGATTCAGTCTTTCGCTAAAACCTTGCAAGCAGGAATTGCCGCCTGTAACCACCACGCTTCCGTACAAACTCTAAAAAAAAGAGAAAGAAAAAAAAAAGTATTTCATTTCGATAAACGACGTTAATTAATTATCACGTTTATTTCTGCGGAAGAGCGAGATGAGTTAGAAGAAGGAGCTTACAGGTCTGATGTCCATGTCGCACATGCCCACACTGGTGGTGACTAGAGGACCAACCCCAAGAATGCTGGCTCCAACACCCTTCACGTTGCTGGGATCGAACAGGGCTTCCGGAATCATGAGCCTGACGGAGCCGAAATCATCGTTGTACCCGGTCGGGAACTCGTAGTGTTTCATTGGCAAAGTGTTGGCCACGTCCTCGTCGTAAGGACTGTCCGAGACTTGGAGACAATTCATTTGAAAGTCTTGCAACAACTCTCTGACCATATAACTCATCCAGGAAGACGTTGGTTGGGGACCGGCTCTCTTGATCCAGCGTGGTGGATCCCTTTCACGGACCACATCTGTGTGCGATATCGTATCGTGTCAATCGTGTTTCTCGTCGCCTCGGCGATTAACGATTAATCTCTACGGAGAGAAGCAATGGGGAACGAATAGAGAATTAATTTAAGAAGAGAATTTCGCGTTCGAGTATAAATGTTTGAGCGTTTGTTGGCTCAATATAAATAGACGCATATCACGTCACATCCGGAATTATGAAATATTAGAAAAGGGAAGGGTCGGATAAAAGGGGGGAATAGGGGGGCGCCCTTTCAGCGAGGAAAATGTTGAACAGTCTAAACACTCCTTAACCCTTTGAAAAGCGCGAAACGATGACAAGTGTTCGGTAAATCTGGCCAGCGCGTGCGGTAAAGGCGCGCGAACGTTGAATGAATGCATTCAACGTATTACGACTCAAGTGCTCTGCACACAGCGCGCCGTTCATCGTTCAAAATGCACTTTGAAAAGGATTTAAACTGCTCCCTTTTGTGCCTCGTAATAGAAACCCTTCCACCACGCGCTAAACATTCCTTTCTCATCTTAACACGTCGATTCTATTTAATTAATAAGCCGAGTCGAGTCGAGTCAACACTTGATCCGTTCATCGGATTAAATCGTCGCCATTGCTTTTCTCTGTCTTCGACGTCGACGACGAAACGACGATTCGATTTATCGGATTATCCGAGCGGAGAAAATTTCACGAGAATTTTTGCCTTTGCTCGCGACCAGGCAGGCCGGGGTCAGCTCGATCTCCTTCTCCTCGAAGAATTGCCTGCACTGCATCGTGATGAAATCACCGCCCAACGGGCTTTTCACGATTCCCTGGGTGATGACGTAACCGTCGTGCACAGGGACCGCGCTCGTGTGAGTCGCCCCGCTGTCCACAACCATGGCCGTCGATCTTCCGTTCGCATACGCGGCCAAGACGGCGTTCTTGCAGATGTACATTGCTGGAACGTTGAATTTCTCGAACATCAGCTCCAGCAATTTTTCGCGCTTCAACCTCGTGTTCCAAGGGCACTCGGTCATCAGGATCGGATGGTGTTCCGCGAGAGCGTGAAGCCGTTGCTTGTACGTGTACTCCGTCAGCCGCTCGAACATGTCCCAATCCTCGATCATCCCGTCCTTCATTAAACTAACCATCTCCATATCTGGGATAATAAAATAAATAGGTCAGAGGTCATATGTTACCGCGTTGCACCATCTTTAATCATTTATTTTCTAAAATATTCTAAAATATAAAATGTACAAAAAAGAATATACAATACAAATTGTGCTACAATTATGAAGGAGTTCATCTAGAATCCGCAATATTAGTCCAAATCAAAATTGATGCGATAGAAAAATACGGTACACGGATGGTAAAAGGCTATACTGTTTTTTTCTTTTTTTTCTTTTTTCTAAGTTTCGAAATGGAATTTACGATGGAGAGGAAAGGGGTCAAACTTGAACCAGTAAGAGTGCCGAGATATAATCGCGTTTGCCCTGATAGGATTACGGAATGATCGTACCCTTCTTTCGCACTTGAATGGCCGTGACATCGATGTTGTAGTGCTTCCTGACGTTCTGACTGCCGTCCGCCGACTCGATGCTGTCCTCCCATACACCGAGGGTGGTCGGGATTTCAGCCTTCGGTGTGTCCTCACCGCCATAACCAACGCGTAGGCTCTGGTGTCCAACGTCGAAAATTATAGCACCGACCTCGTCTGCGGCAAAAATCGAAACGATTTACGCGAGATTCTCTTGCGAAACGGCGCACCCTTTTTTTCCGCAAATATTGCGGACCGCGTATCACATACCTCCGCCGTAGACACCACCGCTCATAGTATCTGGAGAGGAAAGGAACGTCGGCGCATGCCCACCAACCCTGTTTCGACCTCACCGGTCCATACAGCCCCCCCTCCTTTCTTCCTTCCTCGTGCCCGTATATCGAGGATTCTGCGACCCTACACCGACCGTACCTACATCGCTCCTTTTGCATATCCCCAATCTACGATCGGGAGGAGGACGAAAACGGTGCGCGATCGATCGGCACCGTTTAAAGCATCGAACCCTTTCTCCATCGGAGCGCCTTTGTCTGGACGAAGGGAGGCTCGTTCGCGTCGTACGTTCGAGAGAAAATTACCAATCCGATTATCCCGGAGGAGAAATTTTCTTTTTTCAAATTTTTGTATCGCGTCAATTTATTGTATCGTTCTTTTGTCGTTGGGTCGAGTTTCTTATTCGGATTTAAAGATCGAGATGACACGAGAGGAGGAGGGGGAGTAATGAATAACGCGCCAGACAATCGGATATCCGTTATGGAATTAGTGTTGTATATTTTACAAAGTAAATAGAATATAAACAATCTAAAGTCGTCTAAAAACACAATAGTACGAATTTCGTGGTAAATCATTCGTTCATATATTATAAAGTATACGATTTGTCAACAGATCGATATCTCTTCTTTCGTAGCCCCCGATTCTCGGGCTCGCGGTGCTTCGTGATCGGGGGCGCCGAGATATAACGAGAGAGAGAGAGCACTCAGACTCAAAAATCATCGTCACGTTGCCGAGTGAACGATCGATTTGCTTGTACGTACGGTATTGAACTGATTCGATGACAACAGATGCGTTTACGTAGATTCGATAGATGTGTTTTTTTTTTTTTTTTTTTCC